GAAGGAAGTGGTCATTCCAACTTGACGTACCCTGTTGTGGGCAATGCACGGGTAAAATTTAGATAAGGATGTTGCCATTTCAACTTGACTCACCGGAGACCGGACCGGAGATCGGACCGTGACCGGGCCGGGCCGGTGACCGGAGACCGGGCCGGAGACCTGACCGGTGACCGGGCCGGCGACCGGTGACCGGGCCGGTGACCGGAAAACAAAAAAAGTATATTATGGACCAAAGAGAACGATGGACCGCCAAGGTTCATTCACATGAAAAATCTTCGGGGAGAGTATGTACCGCCAAAAGACAGGGGCGAAGCAATCGCCACTTACCTTCAGGACAAACATTGGACCAATGAAACCCAGTGCAGCAAACGGACAGGATTCAAGATCTCAAACATTTATTCGATAGTAGACCATTCACCATGATTCAGTTCAATGTTGCTTTGACTTCCACCAAACCAAATAAACAACCTGGACCCGACCTTGTTATGACGGAACTATTCTCTCGGATGAACGCTGACAATCGAAGGTGGTTTCTGAATCTTCTAAACTCTTGGTGGAGCAATCAGGTGGCCCCAAACTATGTCTTCTGCACGCGCGTGGTGCCTTTTTACAAGAAAGGTGACACGGATGAACCCTCTGTTTCCTTGCTGAACTCATTTCACAAGCTCTGTATGATTGTGATTCGACAAGGATTGCAGGTGGTACTGGAGAACAACATAACTCAAACGCAGTATGGGTTTAGACCATCAAGAAGCACTTCACGCGCACTGCTTTTAACAAGGCACATACAAGACATTGCTGAACAACAGGTTTCCAATCGCGTCATTAAAGGCTTTTGATAAAGTACAACACGACAAAGTCTACATAGCGCTCCGCAGTCTTGGAGTTCATGAGCATTACGTTGCAACCCCTGCTGTTTTGTGGAAAACGAGATTGGAAGATCGTCGACAAAGCAGCAACGGTCGGGAATAAGACAGGGACGTCCCTGTTCGTCTTAGTTGTTTGTTTTGGTGATGAGCGTCATAGACCATGATGTAACTTATCGGTTGGGTAGACGGACTCTTGGAGCTGGAAAACCAGGCGTTAGCTTCGATTCTTTGCAACCAACACACATGCTGCAAACAGACTACTCTGGGCCGTAGAAAGTATTTCAATGCAACTTGGACTTCGGTTGAACAGGGGGAAGTGCTCGTACATTGCAAGGAATGGAAGCAATGCGTTTAGATTTGCTGAAGGAAGTCGGCTACAGGGTTCAACAGTCTTTGATGATGTGGTCAAAGCTGAAACCATTCTGGAAGGCTGCAAACTGCACCATGGGTTGGAAAATCCGTGTCCATAAAGCTGTCGTTCAAAGCAAGATGATTTATGGTGTGGAAACTGTGCGTTTAACGCAGAGTATACTTAACAAACTTAATGTGTTTCAACTGAGGGTTAACAGCTAGACTAGGATTAGGAACAACTTTCGTGAACCGAAAAATACCAATGACTATGTGCTGAGGGCAGCCTCAGAACAAGCTGGCCGAGAAGTGAAGTTGTTTTCGGATCTTCTTCTGAACAAACGAGTTGCCTTGTTGGGCAACAGTCTTAGATCTCCAGATTCGAACCCTTTGCGACAAGTCACGTACTGTTCCGCATTCGAAAAAACAAGGGTCCCCCTAGACAACAATGGTGCCACTTTACACATCGACATGCTTGGAAAAGCTTGTAGGGCGGACAAACTCATTATGACAACACGGACCAGCAAAACAGACAACTAAATGGCTCTCGCGTAAGATTTTAAAGCTAGCCCCCCCGCTCCATTGAAATTGCAATGGGTTTCCGTGCGTTTGCACAAGGTTTCCTGTGGTTTCCGGACGGGTCCTGGTGGTCTCATGCCCAATGTAGCCGGCGGAGAGATATAGGGTGCAAAGTTTGCGTCCGTTCGGCTGCATTGCGTCCACGGTTTCATGGAGCACCTTGAGCCAGAAAATGCATCACAAGAGCATTCTCAAACGCAAATGGTTCAGTGAATTCATGGACCAGCTCTGCTAAATTTTCGGAAGAAAGAAACATACCAAAACAGCAGTTGTGTTGTGTTTTGCGCGTGTGAGTGTATGGCGTGTTGCTTTGCACTCTCCGTCTGATCCGAAGATGCAAAATGATGTTTTCTCTGTCATGCCGTGTATGAGTTCAACACGTTCAGCTATGGATCCGTGTGAGTTTTCTTACATGCTAATGAGCAAAGCAGAAGGAAACAACATCAAGAAGTGCAAAGTTCTTAAAGTCATGCCGAGTTCCCCCGGAAAAGCACTATAAGTAAACTGAATCTATATGTGGTAAGTATATACTATTTCGTACTGCAAAAGGACCTGCCAGATTCTGAAGTCAAATCCATTTGAAGACTATTGGGGCAAGCAAAGATTGCTGGTGTCACGGTGCCTGTCAAGAGTTGTGTGGGTGGGGGGGGCGCGTTTCTCAGATTTGTGTTTAGTAACTCGCAACAATGACACAGCCTGACCATGCTCGATGCTGTTCTATCTAGCACAATGGGCAGAGGCAATGTTTTTAAACGTCATGAAAACGCAAGCAACTGCCTACTCACCAAGCAAACCAGACCATATACGTATACAATCATATGTGCATAAGCAGTGCGTTACAGTGTGGCTAAACAAGAACTTGTGGAGCGTTGCCATGGACTGAGAACTTGGTGACCCAAGTTGTCGCGCAGGCCAACATCCGGACGGCAGTCATCACACAACAATGACTGCAGACTAGATTTGGGCGCTGTTTTTGCTGTCACCTTCTTCCAGCAAATGAAAGCAAATAGAAGAAAACACAATAAAGGTTGCACAGGTACAGGTGACAAGGTTTAAAGTTTAAACGGGGTGGGAGGGGTGACCAAACAAGGCAAAAGCCGGACCGGAGGGGTGACCAAACAAGCCAAAAACCTAACCAAAACCTGTGTGGTAGCATTGTATCCGGATATTGGCCCAGACGGGGTGAACTAAGACATTAAGGCCCTTAAACTTTCAACCTCTAACCTTCAAGGGTCACGAGAAGGTACCGGAAGGTCCCGTGATCGCAATCCTTGCGTTTTTACAGGGAAGGGCCCGCCCACCCCGTTTAGACCTTACAAAGTTACAAGAGGGGGGGAAGACGAGCTTCGACGGCCACCCCAAGGCCGGTCGCTGGTGGCAAGACCCGTGACCGGGACAAATCGCACTCTCGCCTGCATTTCGCGCATCCGACACGCGCGATCTCCGCAGAGGGTTGCGTTTCGTGGCGGTCCGGCGGCACTGCCCCCGGCCTTAAGAGAGAAAGTTAAGAAGAGCGAGAGGTGAAGATGTGAGATGTAGATGTGAGGATGTGAAGATGAGCAGAGTGAAGATGTGAAGATGTAGATGAGACTTAGTTCTGCAGATGTTTTTTTACGAAGAACCCTTCGCAGACGCTCTCGGGAAAAAACGACTATATTTCCGACGAAACATGCAAACGATCACCGCCAGACAGCGGGCGCGTGAAAATGGGAACCTTGAAGCTGTCAAAGCTCTTTCGCGCGAAATCAAGAAACTTGCCATTTTTTAATGTAAAAGAGAAATACCTGACCACTTGCATGAGAGGCTCTATTCCCTCAGCGTATGCAGGCGAGAGTGCGATTTGTCCCGGTCGCGGGTCTTGCCACCAGCGACCGGCCTTGGGGTGGCCGTCGAAGCTCGTCTTCCCCCCCTCTTGTAACTTTGTAAGGTCTAAACGGGGTGGGCGGGCCCTTCCCTGTAAAAACGCAAGGATTGCGATCACGGGACCTTCCGGTACCTTCTCGTGACCCTTGAAGGTTAGAGGTTGAAAGTTTAAGGGCCTTAATGTCTTAGTTCACCCCGTCTGGGCCAATATCCGGATACAATGCTACCACACAGGTTTTGGTTAGGTTTTTGGCTTGTTTGGTCACCCCTCCGGTCCGGCTTTTGCCTTGTTTGGTCACCCCTCCCACCCCGTTTAAACTTTAAACCTTGTCACCTGTACCTGTGCAACCTTTATTGTGTTTTCTTCTATTTGCTTTCATTTGCTGGAAGAAGGTGACAGCAAAAACAGCGCCCAAATCTAGTCTGCAGTCATTGTTGTGTGATGACTGCCGTCCGGATGTTGGCCTGCGCGACAACTTGGGTCACCAAGTTCTCAGTCCATGGCAACGCTCCACAAGTTCTTGTTTAGCCACACTGTAACGCACTGCTTATGCACATATGATTGTATACGTATATGGTCTGGTTTGCTTGGTGAGTAGGCAGTTGCTTGCGTTTTCATGACGTTTAAAAACATTGCCTCTGCCCATTGTGCTAGATAGAACAGCATCGAGCATGGTCAGGCTGTGTCATTGTTGCGAGTTACTAAACACAAATCTGAGAAACGCGCCCCCCCACCCACACAACTCTTGACAGGCACCGTGACACCAGCAATCTTTGCTTGCCCCAATAGTCTTCAAATGGATATGACTTCAGAATCTGGCAAGCCTGAGGTATGCGATATTTCTTTCTTGTGGTACTTATACCATTTTGAAGTTTTCCTGATTTTAAAAATCCATATTGACTTTCCTTCGAAATGTATTTCTTCTTCAAATTTCTTTCTTTATTATAGATTGACGCCGATTTTGAGGAACTTATAACAATGTAATGATCCAATCTTAAAAATTACTGGAATATAGATTCCATCTGATGCTTGTAACTTTGTAAGGTCCAAACGAAGCAGGGAATAGACTTTCAAGCTAACTTCTTTATCAGGGACAGATTCTACTTGATTTATGTTGTTCATTTACAACACTACTCAGCGCCGGCAGCAATGAGCTTTTCCTGGGCTGCAACGTGGTCATTTTGTGCTGCCCAGCGCAATGGAGTTGAACCTGAAAGCACGGCAGTACGAGCACAGTCTGGAGCTCAATCGATGGCCGAAGTATGCACAAGTCAGTCACTATGCAAACACTCAACTGTGCAATTGCTCCATGCTCTGGGGGCCGCTGCCTTGCCGGCAGCAATGAGTGATTCCAGGGCTTCAACTTGGCCATTTTGTGCTACAAGATGCAACGGAGTCGGCAAGATCACCTGTGCCAAGCGTGTCGCATCAGCCCAAGCAGCCAAAGCAGCGTGTCGCTTTCGAAGCTGACGGGCAGTTGCGTGGCCAAGGAAGTTTCTCATCATATCCTAATGGAAGAGGCACCAGGCACATCATGGAAAGAAGAAGCCGCGCAATTGCACTCTGGCGAAGGTTCAGCCTAGACACCGCTGAGGTTCGGAATTGAGACATTGGGTACAAATCTTGCAGATCGCAAACGAATGCAGATCTTGCAGATCCACCAAAAAAGTTCCTACACTCTCGGGGATTCCAATTCAATTGCTCTCAGTCAAAAGCATGAACTTGCTGTCGTTGTGGGACCTAGAGCAAGCGACCAATGATGGACAGGTTGGTTGCCAAATCTCATTGAGTCTGCGACATGAGAGCGCCCCCTATATGGACCAGTCTTGACATCACAACCAAGCCATAGCTCAACAGGAGCCATTTGTGGATGGGACGTCGGCAGCTTGCAAAGCCATCCCATTCGTATTGGACGTCGATACACATGTAGAGCAATGACCTTGGTCAACTTTACTTTCCTAGTACACAATGAATGCCCTTAGTTCAAACAGCCACGATCCCCAAACTAGCACAGCTCTCCCACAAGCCACACATGCGGGTTGCAACGGTTCTAACAAAGATCCCGACATTACAAGGACGCCGTCATTCCAACCAACCTCTCGTGGAAATTTGATAAACTTATCACAAAAAATAAAGGCGTTGTGCTCAAGGGCCTGAATGGTGGAATTTGCGTGGGAGCGCACTTGGCACGCTTCAAGCATCCCACTTCCTTAAGCTGAAACGGTGTCTGGCCTTGGAGTCGACCATGTCTTCGTGCTACACAGTACCTTTGCCAAGGCAACTTGTGCAACTGTGTTAACATCAATCAAGTTGAAAACCCAAACTTCCCCTTGGTTCCACTTTCCTCTAGGTCAATGTCCTTATCACGCTTGCTTCAACTGCAGCAAAAATGCATGTAGAGAATGCACCGGAAAGGGTACTTGCTTGCGAAGGACAAGAAGGGTAGAACTTGTGAGGCCGCAGGAATGCACAAGCCAAAGTTTTGCAAAATCTTGAGGCGACTTTGACTTATAAACAAGATGGAACCCACGAACCCGAATGCAAGCACGTTCGAAAAACTACATATGTCCAAATGACACTCTTGTAGGACACTCTTGTGGGACACTCTTGTAGGACACTCTTGTAGGACACTCTTGTGGGACATACCACACCACACCACACGTGTGGAATGATTTCGACCCGTTCTGAGCACACTCCCATCCACCAAAATCGCCATTTCAGCTGAGACTTGTCACGAAAACCGAGCTTCGATGCCACACCCTGAAACGCAAATCCCAATGGCACGGCCACATCCAACACCCCAAAAACACGACTCTCCAAACGTTAATCCCAATGGAACTACGCAGCAATCTGCGGATCTCACAAAACGCTGCGCCTGTGCAGCGAAATGCATCACGTTTCTTGCGCGACATGTTAGTCATGCAAATCACAATGTAATAGCGGCGCAAACTGACACATGACACATCCATGAAAAGTCACTTGCAAAAGCTTCCCCCCAATGGCCTCGAATTTGAGACGCGACGACGACGACAAACGACGACAAACGACGAGAGACGACGAGAGACGACGACACGACGCAAGCCATGCAAACACAGCTCCAACCCCCAGACCCCCAACTATAAACGGAAACCCTTCGCTACGCATTCGGGAAAAAACATCCAAAAACGTAATTTGAAAAGCCAGTATTGAACACATCGCTGTTTTATTTATTCTGTACTGCTGCCGAACTTGGACTCGCAAGCACGGGGGTAGGCTGGACTGTCAAAACCAAAAAACTTTCCATCTCAGCAAATCTTGGCCGTGGGCGCAAAGCAATGTTCTTGCATTGGGGACATCAGCCATCGCGACAGCTGCAAACCTGGCACAGCGACACATACACTTGAGGCCTGCAGCGACAAACAAGAGCTAGGGCAATCTGTTGCAAAAGTACAACAATCTCAACACGATGTAACCTAGTTCAATGAATCAACGATGCTTAATAGTAACGCCCACATTTATTTATTTATTGATGCTACTTGTCGCCGCTGAGCATCAACGATGCTTAAACGAAACGGCCAACTTAGGGTTGTCTTGGAGGGGTTCTAGTGGACAATAAAACAATACTGACTCTGTGACCACGACATTGGACAAAATGTTCTGAGATGTTCTGAGACTGGACTGCAAATTCAGGCAATTCCATTTCATACATGTTCATACAATTTCCTTATCACAAATAATCTGTCCTCAACTTGAAGACATTCCAGCCGGTACTGTGCATCAAAGCATTGCACCTCCACAAACATCTTCGTATCAAAGTCTTGTCCTCTGTCTGAACCTCCATGACTCCACGCTCATAAATGCTGACCCAAAGAAGTCATGCTTATGTGGGCATCAACCTCAGAAGGGAGGAAACCGATCGTTAAAATACATTTTCAAGTTCCTGTGCTGCCCACCTGGGTTTCACGACCTGCTTATGAACCACTCACGACCTGCTTATGGCGGTGCAGATTCAAGGCCTTCTGGTCAGAATCTCTGCGATTGTTCGATGATGAGCTCTTGACACGAAGAATTGCTGCAAAGTCAGCGAGTCAGCAAACCTAACCCGGAATCCTGCCTCAGACCACACAAAGTCCCTGCTGGCATCGCATATTTGCCCAAGGCCAACTCTTTCAAGAAATAGTCTGCCTGTCGGCTTTCGGCGAGTCGTACTTTGTGCCTGGAATATGACATCCCCGACACCTGTGCCTTCTGAAAATCAAAACTCTGAACCACTGCATGAAAGCTGTCAGATCGAAGCAGCAAAAGGCATCAATGCTTACGGGACTTCTTCATGCCCATGCATTGAGTTGTGGCATCCAAAATATGCAAAACAAATTCATATTCACCACTCCGCTGGTTTTTGCCCTCGTGCTCAACCCGAAGTCAGCCTCAGAGGACGGAAAAATCCACTCGGGCGCCTGACGGGCCCGACACGCCTCATCGGCAGGCGTGTCGAAGAAACAAAAAAGAAGGTCTTCACTCGCCGCAGTCGCCCTCTGGAAGGCCGAAATAGGCTTCCCCATTCTCCCACACTGGGGGGCCGTTGGCCTTCCACGTATGTGCAGGACAACTCCAATTTGTCAGTTCCGGTGCTGCGCGGATCCTCTCGAGAAAGCCTTTCCATCCTGCTCCGTATCGCGTTTCCAATGCCGCTTCCAGTGATGGAACTTTCGCCAACAAGGAGTCGTCAGAGAAATTGGCAAACCTATCAGCCTGAAACTCTATGAGGGTGGGATGGCGATAGTGATTGATTGCTGCAACCGTGAGTGGAACATGGGCACGCTTGCCCAAGGCCGACTGTAAAGGCTGATGGACTGCAACGAGATTGACTAAAGATACATTAACAGCATATTTCTTGGCTTTGTCCTCAGGGATATTGCAATACTGAGGAGATGAGATGTCCAGGCTCCCTGGTGGGGCTCTTGCAAAGCGGAGCTTTCTGAAGAAAATACTACTCAAAGGACCTTTCTCCTGTCTGCCATCCATCAGGGAGGTCACATCTTGTTCTGGCAATCTCACTCTCAAATACTCATCTACATCCAGGCTTGGCAGCAACCATCTTGCGTGGCCTTTTGCGCGGTAGAGGCAATCATTGAGCATCATTCGATGTTGGACGCAAGGGTAGCACCAGCATTTGTCTGCAGGCATGTCGAAGTGAACTCTGGTCACTACTCCTTCGTCGATGTATGGTTGGTACACTTCCTGCAGCGCTGGTGACATATCGCTTGTTGTGTAAATGATGAAATGATGAACTCCATGCATAAGGTGATAGTCAAGCCACTGTGGAAAGTTTTCGAGGCCTGAAACATTTGCATCAGGATCGTTCCAAAGATTTCGCACGCAAGCCATCGTCCCATACTGCTTCAGCAAGGATGGCTTGTAGTTGGCATGTACTTGTCCTATGATGTCTCCATTGGGAAGTTCCAGAAAAACATTATACCCTCCGGCCATTGCATCTTCTTTTGGCCAATCACAAGTAAAGATCGACAATATATCCGAAGGTGCAAACAAACGGAGTTGGGTTCTGTGAGATCTGTTTGGTCCCGTGCAGAAAAGACCATGATTCTGCACATACTCCTGGAGGGCAGCAGTATTGTTGTGAATCAAGGCAATGTAGTTGGCCTGGTCCGTAAAGACAGGCACAGCACTCAAGAACTGCAGCTCGAAGTTTATCTCATCTGTGTAAACCTCCATCCGCTGTGACAGAGACACACGTGCCAAATCCCGTGTGCTTCTCCATGATTGATTTGTGTTGGAAACGAACCTGCTGACCTGGATGAGTGCCCCGTTTTCGGTTTCACCCACGTGGCGCTTTCCGTCTCCACACTCCACGGCCAAACAAAGAGCAAAGAACGAGCCATGGAGCAAGAGAGTAAGCATGTTTAGATTCTTTACAGTATCAGGAATGGAGCCACTCAAAAAGGCCGAAGCAAAAGTGCAAGTTTTGTTGTCAAGCCAGCGTTTTGGTCGCTTTGCTCTCATGTTTAACCTACTCAATAAAACCGCATTGTTTTATCCGAGTGCAAACCTGGAATCACCTTGTAATCTCTTGCAGCCATGGTGCGTTTCTATTGTGCGGTCGTCTCCATGTTTGGGTGCACGTGATCCAAAGAAAAGAGGCGTTCTTGGCGACGCACCTGGAGATCTCGGGGCGTTCCAAGCGAGACAATCTTTGCAATGACAACGCAGCGTTCTGCGATCTCGAAAAAATAGAGATGCAGCATCAGCATCTTGGCAGATTTTCGTTTGATCCTGACCTCTACTCTAAGCCCTAACCTCACACAAAAAGGCTTACACATTTCTTCATTCAAACTCGCCTTCTGCACACAAGTGATTTGTGAAGCTCCGGCGGTCTAGTGAAAAATCACTGTGTTGGTCTCAGGCCACCCCGGCTTGCTAAAACGAGAACGTATTCTGCTAGCTGAAACTATATAGTTTTCGGCAACTGCCCCTTTCTGTCAAGAAACCAGTGTTCAAGATAGACGTCTGTACCGTAGCGCAGCGGGTTCGCAAATAAGTTGCTTGTCCCTTAACATCCCGTCTGGACCAATATCCGGATACAATGCTACCACACAGGTTTTGGTTAGGTTTTTTGTTTGGTTTTCGGGCCTGCATTCTGAGGCCGGTCCAAAACCGAAAGCGTCATTGAATGCAATGAACATGCTGAAATATGTCTTTTCCAACATGCTTGAGGTCTGTCAAATTGAACCGAGGAGAGGACTGGCTGACACAAAGGAGCCGCTCCGCTGCGAGAAACTAGTCAATGATATTCTGGAATTCTTCCAGGCATGCACTTTGCTGCCGCAAGATAAGTAGAGAGAATACATCAAAACTTGCAAGAGAAGGGCTGCGGTCACATATCCACAAAGATCGCCAAACAAAATACAATGAATGAAATACAACCTTTTGCTTTTCAACCAAAGCAGCGTTGAACATGTCCAATTAGCTACTTTCGATGTGCACCATGCAACACATCCAAATTTCCTTGACTGACAACGTGCTGGCGGCTTTTTCCTCCAATGTTCGAGGTGAAATCGAATTCCATTGGGTGAAAGTGCTTTGAACTATTCACGGCATCTTGCAAGCATTTCCAGGCATTTTCAGAAAGAATTGATTTGATCGAGGGGCCGGTTGGCCCCTGGTGCCGGAGGTGGAAGCGGTGCTAGGGGTCTTGAAGCCCCTCAATCTCGTTCGGGCGCCGGTTGGCTTTGTTGGGCATCTTGCAGGCG